GGGCATGGGAATCAGCATCCAGAACTGCCATGACCGACGCGATGGAAGTGATCCCCGAGTTTTTCTATCTGCCTGAATTTCTGTTAAATTCAAACAAATATGATTTTGGGCTGAGACAAAGCAAGTCTCAGTCAATAGATAATGTCGAATTACCACCTTGGGCTAATAAAGACCCGAAAATATTTATTGCCAAGCATCGGGAAGCGCTCGAAAGCCCATACGTGACGAGAAATCTCCATAAATGGATCGATCTGGTATTCGGCAATAAGCAGAAAGGCGAAGCTGCTTTGGAGGCAGTGAATGTATTTCACCATCTATCTTACCAGGGCGCTAAGGATCTGGACACCATCGATGACCCTGTCGAACGCTTGGCAACGATAGGCATAATCCATAATTTTGGACAGACTCCCCATCAGGCATTCCAAAAGCCCCACCCGCAGAGAGAGGAGATATCACACAAACAGAAACGGTTGGATACGGCGGCAGAGTCACTAACTCGCTTGCCCTTCACGTTACTTGGTATGCGAGTTCAGCGTCTAAGACGATATTTCAAGGGGCTAAACGTTTTTTTACAGATAGTCAAGAGCGAGTATCATCGTTGTTATTCTCATGGAAACAAGATCGGCTACTCTGTTCTGCTGCCTTCAGACTCAATATTCCACCGAACTACGACAAGTACATTGAGTGGGGGTTCTCCGATGGTAGTGTCAGGTTCTATACCGCTGATACCAGGAAGGTATGTAGACGTATTTGGGAATACATGTCCGTTGTCGAATTTCTGGGACTAATTAACTGTATATTTTTCAGTTGATCGGCCATTTCGAGCACCTACATATAGGTCAGCTATCCGGTGCCTTATTTGCAGATTCTCAGACTCTGATCACCTCTGGAACGGATTGTACTATCTCGGTATGGTCATTCACATCGACATCCAAGTCGGTAGATCTTCATCCGAAAGCTACGTTATTTGGACACCGGTCGCTGGTCACCACTCTTGCCGTTTCGAGATCCTTTAGTACAATCCTCTCCGCCTCCAAGGATGGAAAGATAATGCTATGGGATCTAAATCGTCTGGAATTTGTGAGATCATTACCGAGCGGGGGACCTATCGATGTAGGTTTTGCGTTTTCGCCCAAATCTACACATTCTTCTTTTTTGGGTTCTAACTTGATCATCCATCCGAATAGTGCGCACGCATCAACGATGCTACCGGAAATATAGTTGTCTGCCGTGGAAATCGTATAAGCCTCTATACGCTAAATGGGGATTTGCTTCTTGAGCAAGCTGTGTGCGAGCAAGCTGATGATTGTATCCTGTCCTGTGCTTTCTACGAAGGTGTTAGTAGCGAATGGCTAGAACGGGAGTTATTATTTACAGGTCATAAGCGTCGAGTTGTCAATGTGAGTGATGTCTCTTACTTTCATTTTCATTTTCATCCCTCACTCCCACTGAAACGTCCCCTTTTGCAATTGGGCTTTGTCGCACCGTAGACACATTTCCCCGTACAGTTTCCCCATCTTTGTTTGATATCCGCCGCAAGGCTAACAACAAGTGTTTAGATATGGAGTAAAACGATCCGGAACGGCCGATTCGAGCTCGATCTAATCCGCCAGTTACATCATGTTGACAACACCCGCGAGGACGGGGCCAGCAACATCACTGCGGGTATTAGTTGTATTCTGCCGTTGGCGCAGTCTGTTTATACCGGTGATGAAGTTGGGCAAGTTGTATGTGCCCTCTTTCCTCGCTCATTTCACACCGCTTGGTTGATTCCGCTGTCCTCTGAATACTGCCTCGTAGCGCGGCCAGCTAATTATCGTTTTCTTAATCTCTTCAAACAGTATGAATGGGATTGTGTCCCGCGCCGTTGACGAAAATATATATATATATATATATATATATATATCTCGATCTACCGCTTGACAGGTGGACATGCTTGACATGTAGATCGGAGATGATCATGACTGTATGACGGACTAGGCTTTCGTTTTTTCGACTAGCCAAGATATAATGCTTTTATGCTATGCTATGTTAGTTTATGTATGCTTGAATTTTTTTGAGTTCTTCATCCTCTCTCTTACTCGACACATTTGTTTTATCAGGGTTAGTCGTCTCTTGTGGGATCAAATTTATTTGTACATAAAAGAACCATCATTCGCGGATATGGTGTACTGTGCTTGGCCAGGATATCGGCTGTCCGGTTCAACGAGTTTGTCACGGCAAATTTCTTGAACCTAAAACGAGGCCTATAACTAGGTATTTTCGTTGGTACAATCCACTGCGAGTTTTTACAATTTTTCTTTTTTTTATATTTAAGATCTCCCCCGTCTCTTTTCCATACATCTCCACCTTATCCCGCAGTTCTCAAATGGCCAGCGCCGTGCATTCTAAATACCGTTTGAAACCAGCTTCCTGGTTGCGTTACCGGACCAGAGTTGCGAACAGGATCCATTTTTCCTGTGCAATGATGTAACACTTTCAAGTTTTGTCAAGTAATACAACTATTCGCCGCATGCCGGAAGATTCACTGCATACACTTTTTGCCTCACTTATCAACGGGGATTGATGCTCAGCCATTTCAGGCGTGGCCGAGAGGCGGGCCTTTTTGGCTGCTGTACTTGTCATGATTTGTCATTCTCATGCAGTTCAAGGTTACTCGGAAGTGAAAAGCAGACTTGGGCTTCTATATTCCTGCTTCGCGTCGGACCACAGTCCCCCGGGATTGCGCCAAACAGTCGATGTCGGACAGATGGTCAGGATACTATAGTGCAATACATGGCAGATTGGCCTGGCAGTCATTCGTTGGTAAATCGATTGCACAACGGTCGCAGTTCATCAGTGAGCAATGGCAACTTGTAGTCGGTGCTGGAGCAAGTTACTTTTTTGTAGTTAAAAGACATAGCATCAAGGAATCCACGCCGGCTGAGAGATTAGTCAGTATCGAGCCGGGTTTGCAGCCAATACCCAGTGACCGGGCGCATCGCCGGTAACTTTATCTCCGTTATTTGCCCCACCACAAACCCGGAGCCAACATATATGACCTGCTCAACATCTCGTCCTTCCTTGAACTCCGTATAATGCCAACCATTGCATCACACACCCATTTCTCTTGATTCATTGAACTGTGCTGGGAGCACTTCTACGCTCTCAGTTGAATATTCTCTCCACACGCCTCTCTTCTTTGCACAGAATTACACCCCCGCAATCCGTCATGTCTTCCTCCCTTCATCAATTAAAAGCCACTGGCACCGTAAGTTACCCAGCGCCACTCTGCCTATCTCCCATAAGAGCAATGTATACGAGGATAGAATTGGGGACTGACTCTGTTCTTTATACCTTACCGTATAGGTTGTGGTCTGTGATTCTGGTATGCCATGCCACTCGAATATAAATTTCCCCTGTGTGCCGGTTGTAACGCAATGGAATCTATTGCTAACATAGAAGGTTCCGAAATATAGGCGACTTTGCAAGTACGTCTTATCAGTCTGCTGCTCCCGTCGTTTCTTCACTATATCTATCTCTCTATCCCATTAGGGATTTTACTCTGACATATTCGAATAGCCATAGGCAAATATAAGCCTCAAGATGCCACCACCAACCCTTCGTTAATCCTCGCCGCTTCGAAGAAGCCAGAATACGCTAAGTTGATCGATGCAGCAGTTGAATACGGAAAGAAACAAGTACGTAGAGAACATCTTCCTCTTGGTGTGTTTCTGCCTATATTCTGAGCTGAAGAGCTGACCTATGCGGCAAATAATGATAGGGCAACACTATCGACGAACAGGTCGATGCCACTCTCGACCGTCTTTTGGTCGAGTTTGGCAAAGAGATCTTGAAGATCATCCCCGGAAAAGTCTCAACTGAAGTCGATGCCCGCTTCTCCTTCGATACCAAAGCCTCTGTCGACAAGGCTCTCCACATCATCGAAGTATGTTTTTTTGTTATTTTGGCGAAGCCGATCCGTTGTTATATTAGACGGAGCCTAGATCGGTAAAACTAACTCAATTTGCTTTTTTGCCAAAAATTTTAGCTCTACAAGGCCGTTGGCGTCCCTAAAGAACGTGTCTTGATCAAAGTCGCGTCTACATGGGAAGGCATCCAAGCTGCCCACATTCTCCAATCACAGCACGGTGTCAACTGCAACTTGACATTGATGTTCTCGCTAGTCCAAGCCATTGCTGCTGCTGAAGCTGGCGCATACCTCATCTCCCCGTTCGTCGGCCGAATCCTCGACTGGTACAAAGCAGCCATGAAGAAAGACTTCAGCCCTGAAGAAGACCCTGGAGTCACGAGCGTGCAGAACATTTTCAATTACTACAAGAAATACGGTTATAAGACCATAGTCATGGGTGCCTCCTTCCGGAATACCGGGGAAATCACCGAATTAGCTGGATGCGACTATTTGACCATCTCGGTACGTTGTACAATATATAACTTCATTGTTCCCTGTTCCCTGTTCCCCTTCCAGAGAACTGGAACTAATTAGCGTATTTCCCAACTTAGCCCAATCTCCTCGAAGAACTCTACAACTCTACCGCAGCCGTCCCCAAGAAGCTAGACGCTGCGGGCGCTTCCAGCCTCGACATTCCCAAGCGCACGTACCTCCACGACGAAGCCACCTTCCGTTTCGAGTTCAACGAGGAACAAATGGCGGTCGAGAAGCTGCGGGAGGGTATATCCAAGTTTGCTGCGGATGCAGTTACCCTCAAGAACATTCTCAGAGAGAAGATCAGTTCGTAGGTCCGAACTCTGCTTGAGTTTATGTATTGAATACAAATCTGTGTCAGGAGGTACAAAGGAAGAGAAAGGAAACGAAATAAAAACTATTTACTGCGTACGCGTGTATTCCCTGTATGAACCTTTTATCTTCTTGTCCTTTTTTTTTTTTTTTTTTTTTTTTCTTAATTTTACAAAAATGGCATAAATTCATGCAGGGTCTTTTTTTTTTTCATACGGCTCTTTCGTCCCCTATTTTGCTCGTTATTGAACTCCCAAGGAAGTATATATATATATATCAAATTGGAGCTTCCTCGCAAACAATCGAATATTTTCCTCCCGTTATCTTCGGATTCCGCAAGAGGTCGACAAGATTGAACACTCCCCATAAAAAAATCATATCATGGAAAAAGTCGGTAGGGTTGACTAGAAGGAAAATTAGGAGGAAGAGAGGGGGTGGGTTTTGAGAACATAAAACTCTTTTTAGTAGCACACACACCTGTAGAAAATCAACATTTGAAATATCAAATACTAAGGTCAGATCTACCTACTTCCATCTAACTAATCGAAAGCACAGTACAACAAAGATTCCTCCAACTAACGCCAATCGAGAGGGAATAAATAGGGATATAAAACATCAACAGGT